TAGTTAATTTGAGATTTGATATGTTTGGTGACCTCAAGAGCTTAAGGCATTGATTTGATTTGGAAGAGTCGAATATGAGGCAGAGAAAATAATTGGGACTCCGGAATGGATTATGGTTTCGGATTGAATCACCATTCGGGTGAAGCGAACGTGGTAGCTTATGCATTGATTTGGAAATCCTTGCATATACCGATGATGATGGTGAAAAGAGTTAGGACTGATTGAGCAATTTTGTGGTATGAGTTGGTTTGTGAAGAGACTTCTTATGGAGTCAAGCTTAGTATGTTGGACCTTACTAGTGGTATTCTGGACGAGATTCGATAAGGTCAGAACTCTGGTTTGAGTTGATAGATTGGTTGAATCTGAGGAGTTAAAGTCGAAGGGATGATTTTCAGATTAATGGAAATGGTATCATGAGATGTCGTGATAGAGTTGTGTCCCAGATATTATTAAGTGGAATAAGAGTATTGAGGTAAATGGAGTATCCATCCCGGTGCTATGAGGATGTAACCGGATTTGAGGAAATTATTTTGAGGGTCATAGTTGAAGAGATAAATGGTTGAGCTTGTATGTGCTGATTAGACTTGTTGGAAGTCGAAGAATAAACGCCAGAGACCGTTGGGTCCGATGCAACCGTTGAATATTCTAGAGTGGAGATCGGATAGTATTCCCATGGATTTTGTATTGGGTTTTCTAGAGAATTTGAGGGATATGGTTTTACTTGAGTGATTTTGGATAGAATGACTAAATTGGCTCTTTTCCTAACAAGGAAGAGTAATCATTCTATGTTGAAGCTAGTTGAGATTGTGCAAGAGACGACTGGAAAAAAAAAATCCAAAGGATCCAAGAATGGATGTGTTTTGAGAGTTACGCTGGTAACTGGTGGTGGTCGAGCTTTGAAATCTCGGGAGCTCGCGCCGTGTTTTGTAGTCTGTGGGAGAGTGGCATGGTGAGGTGCTGCAGGAGACAGTGTGACCTGAGAATTGGAGAGCCGAATACGGGGAGCGTATCCGGAATTGTTTCCATCAGGTAATTTTCGAGGACGAAAATAATTAAAGTGGGGGAGAGTTGTAACCCTCATTTTATTTATTTAGTCATTTTGGTGTTAATTTAATTATTTTATGTTGGTGTGCCCTTAAGTGGGGTGGGTTTGTATATGATTAGTGAGTATCCTTGATATATAAGGATTATTTGTGGAGATGTGGTGTTGAGATAATAATATAATAGTTAATAGTAATATTGGTGGTATTATTATTATTATTATTATTATTAGGGTAATGTTAACTTGTGCCCTTGGGGCACAGGTTAAGAAAACTACTTATAGTAAATTTGCATTGGAAAAAACGATTTAAAAATTAATTTTATACTTTAATTAAAGTTTATACACAATTTCCAAGATAATGTTTCTTAATTTAGTTCTTAACATGTGCCCCAAGGGCACAAGTTAACATTACCCTTATTATTATTATTATTATTATTATTATTATTATTATTATTATTATTATTATTATTATTATTATTATTATTATTATTATTATTATTATTATTATTGGTGGAATATTATTACTATTATTATGAATATTATTATTAGTGGGAGAATAATATTTGTAGTATTAGTATTATTGGATTTAAATAATAAAATAAGAAATAAGAGATTAAAAGAAATAGAGAAGTGTTTGGGGAAGAGAGGAGAACACGATAAACTGCCAGAGAAAGGATTTTGGGAGAAGAGAAAGGAAGTTACGATAAACAGTTGTGGGAGAAAGAGCAAAAGAACCATAAACTGCTCAGAAAACCAAAATTGAGGAAAAAAGTTGAGGAGAAGGAAAAAGGAACGTGACTGTGGAGAAAGTAAGAAGAAGAATTTTCCATCGGTGAAATTGGAAGAAAGTTGCAGGAGAGTTACCGTAGAACGGAACCAGAACCAGAAAGCTTGGAATTAGCCTCTATTTAAGGTAAGGGTGGGGTTCAATTCTATAACCGTGAGTATGATCAATTTCACGTAGGGAATTGATTCATAGGTATAATTTCTATTAATCGATAAATGTTAGGGACAAAGTTTTTCTATGTAAGAATGAATGTGTTATATACGATGCTCTAAGGTTTCCCTAATGGGGCAAATACGTAGTAATGTTCCCGTAAGTTGAAGAAATATTAAGATTAATATTCCCGTAGTAACGTTACCGTAGTAATGTTCCCGTAATTTGAAGAAATATTAAGATTAATATTCCCGTAGTAACGTTACCGTAGTAATGTTCCCGTAGGTTGAGAAATATTAAGAGAATATTAAGGGTTAATGTTCCCGTAGTAACGTTCCCGTAGTAACGTTACCGTAGTAATGTTCCCGTAATGATGTTGTTATTATGCCCCTATTTAAGTAAATTAGAAGTTATAGTTATATTACCCGTATGAAAGTATATGAAAATGTGTTGAGTCCTTATTTGTAGTAATGATGTTGTCAGTTGTTCTCTGACATGAAAATGTTGTTGAGTTCTCAATTGTAGAGACGAGGTTGTTTTTAATTGTTCTCTACGAAAATGTGTTAGTCTTATTCGTAGGAACGATACTGTTGGTAGTTCTCTGATATGAACAGATTGAAGTGGTGAGTACATGATGTATGCGAAATGTGATGTTTCTGTTATGGATAATTGGTTGTAGGTGTGATGCCTTGTTGCACGGTTGTTGCACAGTTGTTGTTGTTGTGTTATAGTCCATAATAGTTGCATCTCATAGCATATCATTTGGCCTGGATTGGCGACGGTTGTGTCTTTAATGACAAAATAAAATGATTGTGGAGAGTTGTCTCCCGATTTATTGTGGAGTGTTGTCTCCCGAATTATTGTGGAGAGTTGTCTCCCAAATTATGGTGGAGAGTTGTCTCCCGAATTATTGTGGAGTGTTGTCTCCCAAAATGGTACCACATGCATATGCACCGTTGAGTTACATTGTTGAGTTGCGTTGTTGAGTTGTTTTGATGAGTTGTTGAGATATGATGATAATTGTTGTGGGTATGAATAAAGGGTGGTTGCAGTTTAATTATTACTAATATTTATGCGAACTGCTGGAATTATAATGTTGTGATAATATTCTGACATGACTTTTATCATGTCTTATGTTATATTGTTGATATCTCACCCTTTACGTTGTATGTTACCTCCGTTGGTGGTAATTTGCAAGTAACTCGGAAGAAAGTGTCGCTTTATGTTTAAGGTCGTTGGTCGCTCTGATACGTAGCACTCTGGGGGGATGAACGGTTAATGTTATTGTTTTAATTGAATTCCTTGTTGCTGAATTTTATTAAGTACTATGGCAAATAGATTGGTTGTTTCTGATAATGCCAAATGTTGCTTGGATGCATAGTTGTTTTAGTGAATTGATGCAAGATAATTACTTGCCGAATTTTAATGGAATTTAATTAGTACGAATCGTTGGAAGTGTATTATAACATGGCGTTTATGATTAAAATGTTAAACAAGTTACCGTTGTTTGTTCATCCGAATTTTGTGCTACGTATGTTAGTAAATGATCTTTTACAGGTGTATGTGTTTTGGTTAAGTGTAGAATGTGACACCTCTGCTGCGTCTGAGAATTTGGGAGTGTGACGGTCGTCACAGCTCCATGACGCTCGTCATGATCGGGACGGTCTTGACATCCATGACGGTCGTCATGAGATTTTAATTGCTGCACTCTGAATTGTTTCTATTGTTTATCTTATTTTCCGCGATAGTTTAGAGTGGGGTGTTACAAAAATCACAGTTGTGATAATAGCTTTTTAGAAGCACTTAAACACATTTGTATTTTACCTTTGTAAAAGTTCCTTGAGAGACCAAGTTGTGGTCAGGATTCTTGAGAAGACTAAGACAGTTGTCTTAGTGATATCACTGTAATCAGGTTTTGATTTAGTGGATTAAGTCCTCGTTTGAGAGAGGCGAAATCACCTTGGCCGGGTGGACTGAAGTAGTTTGAGTTCAAACGAACCAGGATAAAAATGACTTGTTATTTTCTATTGTCAAATTGTTTTTGAAAACCCCTTATTCAACCCCCCTTCTAAGTGTTTTCCTACCTTCATTTATCCCCACACACCTCCTTCGACCATAATCGAAGCCAACAATCTTAAAACACAAAGAGAGTAGACAATAAATAAGTCATTAAGCACTATGTCCTAAGGATTCACTGATTCATCCTGCTAGTAAATCCTATATTTGGAGACTAGTGATTGTTTATCATTCTTTAGGGTAAATAGTGTGGAAGACCAAACATGTGAGATGCATCATCACACTATTGGCGATAGTATTTCTATATCTTTTAGTGTCTGTATGTCATTTTCATAACACTTCATAAGTAATGATTCATATGTTCCATTTTCAAGCTTGGATCCTCCATTATTTCCCACACATATTCGGTTGATTAAATGTTACAACATACATTGAGGCTATGGCACATGCTTGTGCATTCGTCATGCTCAGATGAAATCTGACGATGCAACCATGCCGAATGTGAGAAAAAAGTGTTTCAGTGAATGATTCATGAAGCGTACATTGAATTATTCTGGAGATGCATCTTCGTAAATAATTTTTAAAAATATATTAGGTGTGACTCAATTTTAAAGTCTTGACCAAAATATATCTTTAAAATTTAAAATTTAAGGGACAATTTTAAATATTCATTTGATGATTTTTCTAATAATTCCTTTTAATTTTTTGTAAGATTGTATTCGGTTTAACCGACATCCCAATAATGTATAGTGTCATTAAGGTTTAGTGAGATAAAACTCGACTAATCAAGTAAATAAAAGTGAAAAATAAAATAAAAATCAAACCCCTTTGAAAAGAAAAAGAGAGAAAATAACGCGAAGTTGAATTGAGTTGAAGCTGAAACTGTGGTTTTCGCTTGTGTGTTGTCGGAGGAACCCAGTGGTGCGAAATTCTTCATTACCAACTTGTAACAACCAGAAGAACATCTCACCTCTCTTTCACTTCTTGTTTTGATCTTCATTCCCAATGCAAACTCCCGACGACATCCGCAACCTCCCAATCGACATCACCTTTTCCCGTCTCGGAGGTTACATTCATCTTCATTTTCCGTTTTTAATTTCATTTTCAATTTTCAATTTCGCTTTCTGATTTCGTTTTTTATTATTTTTTTATCATCTTTGAAGAATGGTTGGTCGATCGCAAGAGAGTACCTTCGGATTGGAGGAAGCGCGTGGCCGCAATCAGGGTTCGGATTTCCAACGAAGTCTCATCCCTCCCTAAGGATTCTGATCCCCCTTTTCAAACCCTAGACCCTGAAGGTTAGTATTTTTCCCTTTTTCAGAGCGAAATTAAATGAAAACAATCAAATTTTGATGGGTTTTTATTTAAAGTTATAAAAATGTATTTGGATGAAAAAAATGGGTTTTTAACAATAGTAGAGAGAATGCTATTAAACTGTTTTCCTTCAAGTGTTAAAGTTGTTTTCTTAAGTGATTCTGAGAGCTTATTGATTATAAGAAATTTCGTTGGGTTAAGTTGATTGCATAAGATGGGATCATGCATTTGCGTAAAGACTTTTGTGATTTTGGTCGGCTCAGGTTTTGTGACACTGATTGTGGTCGTCGTGGCGTTAATTAACCACAATTTATTCTTTATCATAAAACAGTGAATAATGATAACGGTTTTGACACCTTACGATACTGTTTTGTCGCGGCCGTTTTCGCGGGAACGGACCGGTTTTTAAAACCTTGGATGAGATTAAAAGTAGGACTGCTGTAAGTTTTTCAGGGATTGGTTATGTAGAGGCCAAACAGATATATGGTATTCTCTTAAAGTCTAATACGGAGAGCAGGAATATATTTGGTCGCTTATCTGGTGCTGCGGTGAGATATTCATTCCCCTTCTTAGTGATTCTGAAATTATGGATGATTATCATCATCATTGACATCGTTATTATTTGGGTAGGGTGCATGGGAAGCAATTGTGCGATCTTTTGAAAAAGACCATGTTTTCCTTGGTGAGGCTGCTCTTATTATCACACAAAATGTGAATTATGAAATGTAAGCAATGTGGTCTTTTTGTTTTTTCGTTATAAATTGTGAAGAACATGATGTATGAGAGAGTATTGCTCTGTTTCTTTTAATTTTATTTTAGTTTGTCACTGTGCTGTTTGTTTCTGTTATGAAGTCCTTATCAGAGGAAACAGGTGCAGAAGATTCAGCAGCAGCTGGCAGAACTTGATCGCAAGGAGACTGATATAAAAAGGAACGCTGCACTCTCGGCAGCCAAATATGTTGAAGCTTGTCAGGAGCTTGGCCTACAGGTTTGGATTGTACAATGTATTTAACTTTTGTTAAATGGAGATTGTGGTTGATTATATGGTTTTGCAGGGGAAAAATGTCAGATTAGAACTTTTGGAGACAGCAAAATCACTTCCAAGTACATTTAGCAGGATAATGGATGTTGTGAATAGTGACAACCTTTCACAGGCAATAGAATATTATTGCAATTTTGTCAGAGATGCTCACACTGAAAGAGATGTAAGTCAACTGTAAATATTGTTAAATTTATTGTTTTCATTTATGTCTAATGCATTGTTCCTGCAACTCTCTTGAATTATCGCAATAGAAGGATGTGATTAGAGTTGACATGTTTTTTGAATACATTAATTAAGATTAGTATAATGATTGCAGAGATCTTCGGAAGCTGTACTACAAAACTTGAGGAACATGCGTGAAAATCCTCCATCTTTAAATATTGCTGTTGACTCTGAGGTTATGAATATTGTTGGTGTTCACTCAAGTGACAAGGAGACAAATCCTGCAGTAGGCAGTGTGGAAGTTGCTGTTCCTGACATTGACTGGGATATTTCAGTGGAAAGTTCACAAATTGATTGGGATATTGGAACCGTAGAAGAAACCGAGGATTCTGGAAATGGCATGGGTCCATTTGAAATCATTAATGCCTCCGAGGCCATACAGACTTTTTCATCAACTGAGGATGTTGAATCTGATCCAACAATATCAAATGAAGAACTAGGCGCACATGCAGATATATGCTGGGATATTAGTGTTGAGTCTGCTCACGTTGATGTGATTGACAATGCGAATGCATCAAATGCAGTGCCGGACAATCAGACTTTTCTTCCAGATGCCTTATCTCAGTTGACAGAGAACAAGGAAGGAAGGAGCCAGCTTTTAGACACGGAGTACAGAAATAAGATTCTCGATGATCTATATGAGGTATATAATAAGTTGTGCTTACCTCTTATTCTGTCATGTTTTTGGTTTCGCTCACATAATTTCAAATATTACCCTTGGACGGACAGAAAGAAACATAATTCTTGAAATTTTTGTTAAATCCATTTAGTTCTTTATTTTGCTGATAAACAGATTCCTGCTCTCGATAAACTTATGAGTTAGATCCCATTTTTCTTATGTCCAGTCTAAAATTTTTTTGTATTGAATTTTTATGCCATCAGATGAAATCCTTCTTAAATCAACGATTAGCTGAGTTGAAGAACGAGGAAACTTTGTCGCTACAAAATCAAGTACAGGCGGTATCTCCTTTTGTACTACAGCAGTATGCTGCTGATACTATAGACACGATGCAGAGTGATATTTCTTTGGCAATTTCATTGCTGACAAATAGGAAGACAAGGGATCTGATTATGATTCTCAACTCCAAAAGGTATTTCTTGATGTTTATAACTAAGATTCCGTGCTTATAAGAAGCACATTAACTGAGAAGAATCCAGCCGTGTCAGATTTTATCTATATTCCGTGTTAACAGACTATTTTTTGTGTCAAAATTTCAGATTTCTAGACAGACTAGTCAACTCTTTGGAGGAAAAGAAACATCATGAAGTCAAGTTGAAAGAGGGGCTGAAGGACTTGGCTACTAAGCGCATGGAGCTACAAAATTCATTATCTTCATTGTGGCCAAAACAAGTGAGTTCTACTTGTCTATTGCTCTTATATTCTTAATTCTCTGAGACCAAGCAGAGAAAAAGCTATGTTTCATTCTATATGCATATGTTGACATCTAATCGATACATGCTATTCCCTCCTTGCCCCCTTCACTGGCTTCTGTTCTTATACAATAGATATACTAAGTTTTGGGTGAATTGTAGGATGCTGCTGTGGCTAAAACAAAGGAACTGAAAAAACTGTGTGAGAACACACTTTCATCCATGTTTGATGGAAGGTCAGTTAATATAATTGGAGAGATCAACACCATTCTGAGCAGTGGTCTTGGAGCATGAAGATCTGATTGAAGAAGTGAAGCTTCCTATGAAAATGGAGCTTTCAAGTAGATAATGACTAAAGTTTTAGTAACAGAATAGTGGGTTTTATGGTGTAGAGCCCTTTTCCTGCTATTTTCTGTTCTTATTTTCACATTTCCGTAGACATTACTTTTATAATGCAAATGATCCATAGTTATAATTCTTTCCCGACTTGTTATAAATGAAGCAACCTGTGGTAATTTGTCATTTGAAACTGCGTCCTTATTGATCTTACAAACAGAAGATACATTATTCTTGTTCGATATTATTTTTGAATTTCCAAGTCATGTTCTTGACAAAGTTAGGCAGCACATTTACTTGGATTTTGATGAAGACACATGAAGTACTCACTCAAGTAAAAGTGTTAAGTACAAGTGATCGTAGGACATTGTTTAAGAAACTAAAAGAAGTAACTTTGTATAGAAAAGTGATCGTAGGACATTGTTTAAGAAACTAAAAGAAGTAACTTTGTATAGAAAAGTGATGTATTAAAGAAGTAACTTCGTATAGAAAAGTGATGGATTGACGAGTATTTTTTGAGGATTCAATTGTGTTGTGAATCGGATACCTTTAAACAAAATATAAACAGTTTCTTTCTTATCAAGAAACACACAAGGGTTAAGGTTAATAAAGAAGACAAGGTAAAACAACAAGGAACAACAAGGATTGATTATTAAACTGCTATTCTTTCCTTTCTCTTAGAACAAGATTACAAGTATATAAGAATAACAAAATAACCTCTCTTCCTTGAAATTAGGATTTTATCTTCCTATTTTTCCTTATGCCAAGATTGAGAAACTAGCATCCTATTTATAATAAAATAGGACACTAACCTAATGGGCTTTTTAACAATTACCCATTACAAGCTAACTTAGGTTACAAGCTAACTTAAACAATTAGGCTTACAAGCAAGGCCCAATTCAACATGCTAACAACCCTAGCAATATTGACTAATGCATGTTAGAACAGACTTCGACTACAACATGCATTACTTGCGAACAGACTTCGACCATACTAGAGTTCGACCCAACATCTCACAAATTGAAATTCTAGCAAAGTTTTCTTTTGAGGATTTGATTGAAATTCAAAACGCCCATAAAGCCAAAATCCTTAAAAAAAATCCCATCTACTCATCCATTTAAATGAATGCTCTATTCTTACTGATTTGAAACATTATCTAATAGTGATGACAACAGTGATGAAGAGTTACTGCTCCGATGGAGGTCGCATGTGAAGAGAGGCGGGGTCTCAGCCACATATTTGAAAACACTCCTTGTTTCATAACCTTGAAAACACTCCTTGTGAAAAATAGAAATAAGAATTTTTTTAATGTGCTTAAGTGAGGAAAGTACTCTGCAACTATGATATGCTATATGACAATTACATGTTATGTTTACAAGTAGAAACGAATACTAGTTTAATTCTCTAAATACATGAATCTAAAGATTTAAATATTCTTTTTAATGGGAGGCAATGAATTTTACTATTTCCAACGCTCCTCCACCAACCGGTAAAGAAGTATTTTTCATTTTTCCTCCACCAACTGCTAAATAAGTATTCTTCATTTTTAACTTTAGATATAATTCTTTCAAAATTTAAGCTACTCAATCTTTTAGTAGTGAGAATATCTTCCAATTGCCCTTGAGAGGACACACATGGGTTACAAATCATCCCACACTATCAAGCTTCTTTTTAATGAAGTGTCTATCAATCTTTATATGTTTAGTTCGATCATGTTGAGATGAATTATGTGTCATACTCATAGCTGACTTATTATCACAGTAGAGTTTCATAGATCCTTCCCTTTTGATTTTCAAATCTTCTAAAATAATTTTGAGTCAAAGTAATTCACAAATACCTTGTGTCATGACTCGAAATTCAACTCCAGCACTAGAATGTGCTACTACATTTTGCTTCTTACTTCTCCAAGTCATAAGATTTCATCCAAAAAAGGTTCAATACCTTATAATGGGTCTTCTATCAACAACTGAACCTGGATAGTGTTGCGGCGAGAATCGAATATCAAACTATTGATTAACTTGAATCACAAATCATGAAGTTCACCACCGAGCTTTGTTTATCCAAAGGAAAGGGTAAAGATCAAAGAAAACCCTAAGTGCGCTATGTAACAACAAAGCTAGAGATCTAAGGTTCGGGGTTGGTTATACCTAGGGAAGGTGTTAGCATCCTAAGTATCTGTAGTACTCTACAGGAACCTCTTGTTAGTATTTGTGTTATGCTAAAGTTTGCTTGCTAAGGGTGAAAAGTGCTAAGGTAAAGACCTAGGGTATGTACACTAAGTATGCTTGCCAAGACATCCCATCTCGTGGCTACGTATCCTGACTAGGATGGAATCAGAGTATTCGTAGTTCACCTAACTAGGATTGAAGAACTCTTGATAATGATCAAGGTTCCAAGGGGAAATTAAGTGTTCATAACCATGACACTTACATGGAGTGCGACAACTCCAATCCTAAGGCTAAGATAAACTAGTCCCGGTCATGCGGCAGCGTGAGATAAGGAAATTAGTTGTTAGTGGGTTAGAGGGCTCGACAAGATATCACATCTTGTGCCTACGTATCCTGACTACGAATGAGGAATCAGAGCCTCCGTAGTTCACGTAACTAGGGATGAAGAAATCTTGATAATGATCAAGGTTCCAGAGGGAAGTAAATGTTCATAACCATGACACTTACATGGAGTGCAACGACTCCAAACCTAAGGCTAGGTTTAAACGATAAGACTCTAACGAAGTCTCAAGGAAAAGGTGGACAAGCCTAACTATGACATGTTGGTCAACAAGTGCGGCCCTTTCCTTTAGAATTGTACAGGCAATTAAATATGAAAATATATGATCAAGTCATGAAAGTACTAGATATAAAATAGAATCAGGCGAAGAGAAATAACATGAATGATGATAAACATAACATAATGAGTAAGATAAAATGTCAGCACACATATAACACAAAAGATCAGGGCATGTGACCAACTTAAACTTTTGAGACAAAGTATCTCAAGTACCGAGAAAAGCTCACACGAATAACAACTTCAAATACAAGGCGAACTTCAAAAATTAAATCGAGGGTAACAAACTCAAAGCATGAATGAAAATAAGTCACCAAATTTAGAAATCAAAGAAATTAGTAGTTTTTTTTTTTAAATCTAAGTAAATCCTAAATAAATAAACTCTAGATCAAAATTGATTAATAAAAAAGTAATTAAAATGAAATAATTTATAAAACCCAAAATTTAAATATACCAATAAAATAAATGCCAATTAAACCAATTAACAAAAAAAACGAAATTTAGTGAAGAAAATTGAAAATAAACAAATGAATGTAGTGTGAATCCATGGGTGTAGGTAGCAACTTCGAATGGGCTAAGAACAATCCAAAAGCCCAATTCTAATCTAACCTAATTTGAATAAATAAAAACAAATAATAATAAATTTTAAAAAAATGAATAGAATAAAAGTAGAAGGAGAAAAATAAGGGCTCAGATTACCAAATCAAACGAAATCAAACGAAAACGCTTTTATCATCTTCTTGGATTCCACGATCCCTGTTGACCCTCTTCTCACTATTGCGGCGCTCTCTCACGGCGGCTCCTTCTGTTTTATACTCTCCCTCAGTTGTAACGATTGGAAACGCGACAAAGGTAGATGCAGCAGACAAATGCTTTGGTTGTTATGCTGTTGCGTTTTAATTCGGTGTCGAATAGTTGCATTAATGGTGGTGCTTGGAAGGAGCTTTCATGAGTTTGAAAGGAGGTTCTGATGATTCGTAGTTGATGATAGAGATGGTGGTGCTTGGAAGGAGCTTTCATGAGTTTGAAAGGAGGTTGTGAGATTATGATTTGTGGTTCGAAGATGGCCAGAGGTGGTTGACTGACAATGGTTTATGTTGACAATTTTGTGTGGTTCGTGATTTGAGTGTTAGTTTAAGGTGGTGACAATGAGTATGCATATTGTGCCGCAAGTGGTTGTTAAGGGAGGAGAAGGCACGACAGTTTGGAGGGGAGGTTTCACGGGAAAATGATGAAGGGGTTGTGGACTTCTAAATGTGGCCAAGTGATAACAGTGTGCGTTAAGGAGAGTGAATTGAAGATGTTCAACAAAGGTTTTTTGTGTTTAGAAAAAGTTATTTTTCAGTTTTTTCTCCTCTTTTTTCTCTGTTATGGTATCTTTTCTCCCACCCCTCAATTCCCTTCCTCCGTCCTTTTTCTATCAATTGAAAACTTATTAACTAAGTTTCAATTTGTCTGTTGTTGTGGTGATATGTCCCCTCAACGTGCTGCAGATGGTTGTACAATTTTGAGCAGTTTTGAAGCATTGATACAGGTTCTCCTTCTTTGAGATATGTCCCTCTCTGTGATTTGGAGGGAGGTTTCATGGGAAAATGATGAAGGGGTTGTGGACTTCTGAACGTGGCCAAGTGATAACAATGGAGGTTTTTTGTGTTTTGCAGAAGTTTTTTTCCGATTTTTTCTCCTCTTTTTCCTTTGTTATTGTATCTTTTCTCCCTCCCCTCAATTCCTCTCCTCCGTCCTTTTTCTATAAATTGAAAACTTATTAACTAAGTTTCAACTTGTCTGTTGTTATGGTGATATGTCCCTCTCTATGTACTGCAGATGGTCGTACAATTTTGAGCAGTTTTAGAGCATTGATACAGGTTCTGCAGCTCTGTGATTTTTGTAGCAGGTTTCGATAGCAGTATGTGGTTACTGCTATGGTTGGTATGACTGGAGCAGGGTATTTGGGTGGACGTTGCAGAGCGAGGTTTCAATATTATTTTGGTTCGAATGATTGAGCATTGGATTATAGCTGGTTACTCCACGTTCTCTTTTTGTGGTTTGCGCTTCGTATGGTGAAAGCATGTGCAAAAGTTGGTGAATTTATGATGTAGAAAAGCTTGTTTTATTGAAGTTCCATGAAAGAAAATGTTCAACATGTTAAAACCCATACTGTTAATGTTCTTTTTTTTTTGTTGCTATTAACAACTATTTTTGTTTCATGTTGGCCTCTTTTGTCATTTGTGGTTAGATGATATCATGATCGGGTATTGCAGATTAAAGGTACATTTGGTGGTGATAGTACAGTGCAGGGAGTACAGGTGGTTGGAGCTTTGTGGCATTTTCCCCTTTTTATCTTGTAAATAAGTGGACTTGAGAAATGCTAAAAAAAACATGGGCTTACTATGTGAATTGTATATGGACTTTTATGATTGACTTGTTTTTTTTCTTCTTTTTTTGGATATGGATTTTGTAATAACAAGTAAATATTGGAATGAAATATCTTTGAATTATGGATTTGTGATTTTTGGTTTATGAAATAAAAAAAAGGCATTTAAATATAATTTGAGACATGGTTTTCTCTTAGAATGGATATTATTTGGATTTTATGGATAAATGGAAAAAATTGGTTAAATGAAAGAAAATGGATATTATGGATTTAGAATGGAAATAGTTTAGAAATGGATTAGGAACAATGGGAAAATTGAATGGTTTGGAATGAATGAAAAAACTGAAGAAAAAGGGAAACTACCATAAAAGTCCACTGACGCATGTCAGTCAAAATCTTCATTTCAGACCAATATTCAAAACAGCTTGTGCCATAAATGAGTTGTAGATGAAGCAAAACCACTTTATTTGACTAAGATTAAATCACATCCCACTGAACTTCGCCTTGAGTGAACTCTAAAACAATGACTTGATGAGAACCAAAACCCTGATTCAAGATCTTTCCATTACCTGATAATCTGATGCTGAAATAAACAACTTGTTTGACCAGGATTAGGTCAAACTTCCACTAAATTTCAAAATGCACCGCACACACCCAATCTGATAACTGTGCTTGATTCTTGATTCAGTCCCGCAAGACCTGGGCCTCTAAGAACTTGTGATGATGCCATATTTCACTGGATTATTGAGGAAAGGAAGTCTCTTAAGAGTATGAGAAACTTGCTTGGTTAGTGATCCATCCAAAACCTTGATTGATCAACCCTTGAAGCCTCTTGAAACAAACCTTGATTAACAAATGAAACAAAACAAACAAAGCCTGATACATTGGTTAGTTATGCAATATGATTGATCTAAATGATATGCAAAAGATCAAAGAATCTGAGTGTAAAATTTGGGGTATGACAGTTGTCCCTATTTAAATATCTTTACCGGATGACATGGGTGATAATAGTCCTCATGAGATCATGATGAAAGGTATTTAAGTATAAATAACCAAAAATTTTGCCCTTAGATGCAATGACATGCTATGTGTAAGTGCTCTTGATTGGCTGCATTTTGTGGCAAAACTTTAGAGTGTGCATGTATGTCATACTAAATGTTAGGACATACTTAATGATGTGTGTGCAGGGTAAGTTAACTATAAGTTAACTTAGTTAAGTTGAATGTCATACAAAATGTCATAACACTGAACGTATGACATCCAACGGGCAAGGTTGTTTTTCTGGTATCTATAAACCAGGAAACGTAATAGGAGCTCAAGCTGGATATCAAGAGACTTTCTAGAAGCCCTAGGAGAACTAGAATATCCCTGAAATAAGTGGCAAGTGTGCAAATCTTTAAGAATAGGTTTATTATGGATAAAACCTAATTAATGCACCAAGGCCCAAAAGGACTGACAGCTGCTATAAAGATCAGAAGATGCAATCCTGAATAGCAGCTCTTGACAACAGAAGAATATAGAGTGAAAATTAGAGAGTCCTTGTAAGTGAAGAAGGTTAGTCTTCACGTGTGAATTCTGTCTAGGAATACTTGTACTACAAGCAATTGTCTGGTGGATGATTTGCATTTGATAGGTAGATTCTAGGTTGTGTCTCACTCAAAGCTGTGAAGCAAGAGTGTGTGAGTGCCTTGATCAAAGCTGTGAAGCAAGATCAAGGTGTATATGAAGTGTCTCTTCATATTGTCTTCTGTAATTGTTTGATATCACTGTTGTGTGATTGAGGGAGAGTGAGTGGGTATACTCAGGTCTAGAGTGTCTCTAGGCTGAATTGTCATTAGGTAGGTTTTAAGTGAGGAGTGCAAACTGTGTTATTTGACTCTGAATTAATTATGCTAATAGTGAAGTTCCTCCCTGGCTTGGTAGCCCCCAGATGTAGGTGTTGTTGACACTGAACTGGGTAAACAATTGCTGTGTATTTACTGCTTTAATTATTACTGATTATTGATTGTTAAGTAGCAGATGTCACAGTGGATGTTATAACTTTAGTAATAACATCCATCGTGTGCTTGCCATAATTTTCAATTGGCATCAGAGCAGGCACCCTGCCTGTTTAAATCTGGGTGAGATCTAGGGAAAATAAATTCTGGTACTATGGATAAAGATATAGGCTTCACTAATAGACCTCCAATTCTGGATGGATCTAATTATGATTATTGGAAACCAAGGATGATTGCATTCTTGAAATCTATAGACTACAAGGCTTGGAGAGCTGTGAATTTAGGCTGGAAACATCCTGTGAAGACTGACAAGGATGGAGTAGATGTGTTAATTCCTGAAGAGGAATGGAACAAAGAGCAAGAGGCCTTAGCTCTTGGAAACTCTAAAGTTTTGAATGCCTTGTTCAATGGCATGATAAAAACATCTTCAGGCTGGTACACCACTGTGAACTAGCAAAGGATATTTGGGACACTATCAGAACTACTCACGAAGGAACTTCCAAGGTCAAAATGTCAAGACTTCAAATGCTGACCACCAAATTTGAAGGTCTAAGAATGAAGGAAGAAGAGACCATTCATGAGTTTTACATGAATGTTCTTGAACTTGAAAACACCTCAGGAGCTCTGGGAGAAAAGATGACTGAAGAGAAGCTTGTAAGAGAGATTCTAAGGTCACTACCTAAAAGGTATGCCATGAAAGTAACAGCCATTGAAGAAGCCCAAGACATACGCTACATGAAAGTGGATGAACTCATTGGTTCCCTTCAAACCTTTGAAATGGGAATGAGTGATCAGGTTGTGGAGATAAAGAACAAAAGCATAGCTCTTGTCTCAAACACAGTTGATTCAGATGGTGAAAAGGAGGAGAATCTGTCTGAAGCAATTGCCTTGCTTGGAAGACAGTTCAACAAACTGGTCAAAAGGATAGATGCTAGGTCTAAACCTTATACCAAAAGCATGCCTTATGATAAAGAGAAATATGAAGATAAAGTCAGCCAAAGAAGAGGAGTATAGTGCCATGAGTGTGAGGGATATGGACATATTAGAAAGGAATGTCCCACATACCTCAAAAAGAAGGGAAACGGCCTAACTGTCACTTAGTCTGATGAAGACTCAGGAAGTGAATCAGAAGGAGAGTCTGCCAAGCATGTCACTGCTCTAAACAGTGTGTGCATCTCTGATGATGATTCAAGTGATGAAGACTTGTCCTTTGAGGAGCTTGCAGCCTCATACAAAAAACTCCACATCAGATGTACATAACTGGTTCAGCAAAGAAAGCAACAGAAGAAAATCATCAAGGAGTTAAAAGCTGAAAAGAGAGAGAATATAGCCACAATAGACACACTCAGAAGTGAAGTGAAGGAGTTGAAAATTAAGAAGGATCAAATGGAAAAATCCATAAGGATGCTAAATTCTGGGACTGACACCTTAGATGAAATCCTTCAGAGTGGACAATGTAACGCTCCGATTCTGAATTTCCCATTTTTGTTGAGTCTTTTAATTTATTTTAATTGAATTACTCTTTTAATTGTGGAATTTGAACATTAATATGTTATGTGTGCTTATTATGTTATTTTATTTTTCGGAGAGTTTTGGGAATTAATTAGAGGGTGTTTTAGATAATCCTTAATTAGTTGTTATTTGAGAGAGATAGAATAGAAAGAGTATAAGTGGAAACAGAGAGAAAAGAAAAGAGATAGAAAGAAATAGAAAGGAAAGAAGAAGAGAAGAGAAAAGAGGAGGAAGAGGAGAAAAACCTAGAATCATCAAGAATCAAACTTCTAAGCTTCGATTAATCGGGTAAGGGTGTGAAACTTTATTATTCTTTCGATGTGTATGATTATGTATGTTTCTATTGGTTTGCTTTTGGATTGGGGCGAGTTTTGCTCATTTTCTGTTTTAGGTCGAATTTGAGTAAATCGTTAGAAATCGAGTTTTCACTGTTAAGAATGAGAATAAGTGGTAGAATCTAGTTGAGGGACGTTGGACTAAGCTGCTGAGACGAGTTGGGATTGAATCGGGTAGATTTTGGCGATTTTCGGAGTTTTTGGACAGTGAGGATTCTGAGTTTGCAGACCCTCGCTAGCACGTTCGCTAGGCGAGCGGGTCGCGAGCCTTCGCTAGGCATTCGCTGTGGCGAGCCAGTAGTGAACGGTCCCAGACTTGGGCAAAATGGTT